AACAAGTTAAATTAGAAGAAAACCGTTTCCGACAATGGGAGCAACATGTATGTATCCATTCATTTTTTTATTAATTTTGTCATCAATTGCGAATGTATTCTAATTTTCGATTTTTGTATGTATGAATAGTTGATTGCGGAACGCGATCGTCTTAATAAAGACTTGGAAGCTGAACACTCGCAAATCAAAGCCCTAGAATCCGAATTGGAACAGGTTCAAGGAGCTTTAAGCAATCGAAGTGGCAGAAGATAATATGCTTGTAGTATCGCGATCATGCTTACTTTGCAAGCAAACCAAATCGATCGAGTAATTTATAACTAACGAAAATGCGTGAGAACGCAAGGGATTTCTTTTTGCCGTGTGTGTCAATTTTTCTGTTAAAACAATTTCTTTTTTCTATACTAATTTTGGACATATAGACAATTAATGTTCTCATCATCATCATCATCATTATCGTCATCACCCTTTTATTAATCAACTAATTACTTAATCATTTATTTATTATTTATACTATATTATTTATTTTGTGGATTTCAAACTGACTGTTGTACTATATATAAATTTAATTATTTTTGGTTTTTTGTGCACGTGCTGGTATAGTTAGTGAATTAGGTATCGCTGCACAAAATCATTAGCTTTTATTATATTATTTATTAATATACAGTTATTTACTTAGCAACAATTAGATTTTTATTTTTTTTGTTATCATTATTTTTTGTTCCCGAAAAAAAATACAAGTAGTTTTAATATACTGAAAATTACGGTCAGATCTCGATTTAGCGAGGGAGTTAGGACATATAGTAAAAAAACGGTCGTTAATGTTCGTCTGATTGTATACTATTCGGTGATAATTACTTGATTTATTAAAAAAATAAAGAACTTTCTAGAATTATCACAACCACAAAAAAAATAAGATTTTGCCTAACCCGATTAGATTTCGATCATCATCAACGTGTTTGATTGAAAAAAAACCGTTACCGTCAATCTACATCAATTTGCTAACTTTCAAATACCTTTTAATAACATTTTTCTTCTTAACATATTTACCGTAATTACACTTCCTTGCAAACATGCCTCGTTCCCGATCTACTGGCAAACAGCAAAAGCGTGGAGCAAGCACGTTATCAAAGCCTACACCGCCGCCAGCACCACCAAAACAAGCCTCTGTCCCGACTACTGTTCCTCCTAAACCAACGGGCGTTGCACAACCGCAACAGCCAGGATTATTCGGTCAGGTAAATAATAAAATGTGATATAAACAGGCTTCTTTTTTTTTTTTAAAAAAAAATAATTTAACGTTGTTTTTATATGTTTAAAATACACTAGATGGCCTCTACAGCCGCAGGCGTCGCTGTTGGATCAACTATTGGTCATACTCTCGTAAGTTATTTTACTTATCCATCTGCGCAATAAAAATATTCATTATCATCAATTATCATCATCGATCCCAATTTTTATAAAGGGCTCTGGTATTGGTTCACTTTTTGGTGGAGGTGGTGGATCTGAGCCTACAGCATCAGAACAACCACAACAAAATGCTCAAACATACTCGGTAAAATTTTTTTTTTGAAGACGATCTTAATCAATAACAAGCGAATTTTGTATTGACTTGAAAATCTTGATTTTAGCAACCCGGCTATCAAGGATTTCAAGGGAGTAACCCGGCTGTCGGTGGTGCCTCATGCGAGGTAGATGCTAAAGCTTTGACAAAATGCCTGGAGCAGAACGGTCACAAGATTGAACTTTGTCATTGGTATTTGGAAAATCTGAAAGCATGCCAAGAAATGGCGCGACAATTCTGACGCTTTCGATTGTTTGCGAACATGATCCCCCCAATTATAAAAGCTTTTTTCTACGATTCTCTACACTCAATATAATAATCATCTAAAAGACGCGCATTTCTGATAACACATAGTCTTCCAAATAAAAATATTTTAATTAGTTTTTATTCTAAAAAATTCTATACATGAATAATAATGTACATTTGTGGGTGGGTCAACTTTTTATTAAAGGCCTTCACTCTATAACATTCCCAGTTATTTTCAGCAACTCACACGAACTTTTTCTGATCAATTTCAAAAAACTTGCCAATTTGTTGGTTTGTTTTAGCTCTTTGTATAATTGATGGTCATCAAACGCTACAATATCAGCAAGGTGTAGGCTTTCTTTCAAATTTCTAAATAAAATAAAAATCGAGGGTCAGAAAAATTTTCCTCTTCCTAACTCAAAAAAGCTAAAAAGCAAACTTACCCTTCGACGATCCGATGTGTATCAAATAATACTTTATGATATAGAAAAATTATTTCAGGAAAATAAATACATCGTAGTCGTGAATAAATATGATACAATTGATCATCTAAATAATCAAACCGCCAGAATGAATATAACGTGTGCATAAGAGAAGTTTACAAGATATATAAGTTTTAAAAAAACATACTTTCATCAAGTTTTTGCGCTATTGTCGTTGACAAAAGATTTTGAAAGCTGTCCTTTACTTTCAAAGTCTTAGTCTACAAATTATTATTATTATAAAAAGATTAATTATTTATTAAAGACTGATAATAGAATAGAAAAGACTTACATGAAAATCATCTTTCCAGTCTTCTATTGCAGACACTTCACTTCAAAAGAAAATGGCATAAATTACATCAACAGTAATAATAGTCGAGTATAAAAAGCATACTATGATTACCTACCTAATTAAAGATCTTCGTCGCCACGAAGCCTCCCAATCCTCGTAATTAATAAAAAATTTCACAATGCATTCATATGACAGAAATTCATAAACTGCGGGTTCTTTACCGTCCGATGAGTATAGTAAATAATTGATGGTGGTAAAGTCTACAAGAAATTCTATAATCTTTTTCATTCCATTTAATTTACCCGATACTATATTCAATCAAGAAATATTAGCTTGGTAATAGCGGTTGCGTTTAAACATTCGCACCAAACATTTACCCAAAAGTCGCTTAGATAAATCATTAAGTTGAATTAGTGCATTCAGCATAAGTTCTTTTCGCATGGGAAGAAAAGAGAACCATTCCAAAGTAGAAATTTGACATTCATCAAATGGATCGATTTTGGCGTTTACGCTCGACAATTTTACATTTGAAATAGGAGGCGATACAGGTTCCTGAAATAAATGTGCTTTATCTCATAACATAATCATAGGATTGACTTATCAGCAGAATGATCAAATTCTTTACCTTCTGTATAGCTTCTTCAAAGATCATTTTTACCGTAGTTTGAATCACATTCTCTCTATTCAGCGCAAAAACATCAACTTTATCAATATACTTCTTTCTTTGTTCCTTGCTAATTATACCCAAACCTATGAAGGATGAAATATATTAAAAATAATAGTTGAGTTAAAACTTTTTATACCACTCACCTTTTAGAAATTTTGCGTACAAGTGTATCGTACGTTCATTAGGCAGTTTTTTTAAATACAAGAGAAGGTAATCATGCTATACAAAAAATTCAATCCAAATTATTGTGTGATCGAAGAAAACATACCTTAACTCATAAAAAGTAATATTTTTTACCTTTTTGTAAGCAATCAAGAGATCCACATATTGTTCAATGATCGAATCATATTCCGGACGTTGAGTGTAAAAAAAAATTTCACACAAATATATCAGAAGATGCGTCGCAAACCGGAGAATCTCGACGCTTAAATCTTCACTAAAATTTAAACAAGAGGAACCTTTAGATTTCTAGTAAGATACTGAAAATTTTCACTTTCACGCTTTGAATCTTACGATATATCGAGGTTTTGAAGTTGTGAAATTTGTGCAGAAATATGAGGAAGAATTTTTCCATACTGATCTAATATAGTATATTTCTGTACCGTGTGATAGATCGCATGAATTATGTCATTTCTTGAATTGGGGTATCTGTATTTTTTAAGAGAATGATATTTAAATGAGTTATTGAAAAAGAAATCTAGGGTAAAAACGTGGCCGATGGTGTGTTTGTACCTCATTTCAAGGTGGCCTTCCGCACGCTCAAACACCTGAGGAATATTAAGATCGACTGTTTCGCGTTTTATTTGCAATTCTTCTTCGACGGCCGGTGCCTCTGAAGGAAACCATCTAAGGTGCTAAGAAAATAATTCATTTCAGAAAAAGAAAAGAGGCCACAAAAAATGTTTTTATCGAACCGACAATTTATTTACCTTTTTTTCTTTTCGATTGACCAATTCGATATAATACGCCCAAAGAAAATCTTCCCAAGTGGTGCATACAGGAATTATCTTTAAAGAAATGATGAATTTTATCAAAAGGATAATAAAAAGGAAAGGCAATAGATCAGCATTTTTTTTATCATTTACGTTTTTGGAGTCGCCACAAAGGACCGCATAGACAGCTCTTTCGTAAGAATCGATTCTAGGCTAACAAGAATGAATAAATAATGATAATAATAAGTAATTTGAAAGAATAAAAAACATATAAAGCTTATTAATTAAATCAACCTCTTTTGCTAACTGATAACAAGTTGCCTCCCACAGATTTCTGGCAAGATTACCTCTTGGTTGTTCTACTTGATCTTCTATCATTTAACAAGAATAAAATTAGACTTTGCATGATGCCAAAAATTACGCATAATCTCGCAACTTCTACCGTCAGGAAACACGCAGAATACGCCCCAACCAGCCAAGCTTGCAGCCCGCCAACTTTGACCATTATTTATACAAATATCGTATGCTTTCCTAATTTGTCCTCTTCTTAAATATTCAAATATTGACCGATTTAGTTCTCTTTCGTGTTGCTAAAATACGCGTAAAATTAACAATAAATAACCAACCAAGTTTATCGACAAGAAATAACAATTCGCGTACCTCATCATTTTGAACTAAATGCCGGGATTGACGATGTGGCGCATCCGGGTCAAGTTCGGTGACAATTTGATCGGAACTTGTTTTAGTATCGTGTCTCTCGAGATATTTCAATGTATGCGGCCAATACTCAGGAACGGTTTCAACAGATGCAAATGGCGGTGCAGTTTCTTGCAACCAACGTTGTACAATCTTAACAAAATATAATAATAAGAATGAATATAAATTTAACAAACAACTTCTTGAAAAAAACTTTGATTACTTGCAGTTATTTCATAAAATTCTTTATCAACATGTTGGCGTAGATCGAGGTATTCACCGTATCTTGCAAATGAGTCAACTCCACTTAATGGGCTAAGTTTTTCACTTCGAGACTCATCATCATCATCATCGTCTTCTTCTTCTTCCATTATAGAGTCTTCATCCATTCGAGATCGGTCTAATTCCATTTGTTCCTCATTAATTTTTATGCGCTCGCTTTATATATTTGATCGTAGATTATTGATTTGTTTCAAGGTGAATTTAGTAAAATATTCTTCAAGATAATTACTAACAGTTGCATTCTGTATAATATCATCCATGTGTTTCTTTCCGCTTCAAACAATTCACGAAATCTCGGTAGATTCTCTTCTATACGACTTCCGCCACCATAAATTGCATTTGTGTAAGTTTCATATCTATTAAATATTTATTTATTTATTTATTTATTTGATTAAATTAAATAGTCACTATTGTTGATTCAAACAAATAAACAATGAATTGCAAATTACAAATTATTGCAAGTCTCCGCGTATTTTTCAGCTGTAAGGCTTGCAGTTTCATTTTGGAAAACCTCAGCAAAACTACTAAAGACATCTGTTTCTTGTTCGGCGATTAGTGGACTATCTTCAAATATGTAGAAAAAGGGTTAAAGATTATATGTAAATTGTAAAACAACAAAGGTTATGCTGCAGAGCTCTCACTATACAAAGTTCCATAGATTCCATCCTTTTGCGGTGTGTAAAATGTCTGAGTGTCACTAGCTCGTGAAGGTGTATTCAATAAGGAATTCTGATGCGGAGATAAATATGACATATTGTGTGTATACCCGCGTTTTTTCGATATATTATTTATGGTCGATAAACAATGAGATTTTGTCGGCCAATCAAACGGGACGAATTTCTACAGATAAAGTACATCACGATCAGATATTTTCATCTCGCTTTGATCGAAACTACGATTTCCGCGAGAAAGTAAGAAGCGTGTCACAGCAAAGAATTCAACAGCAATCGCTATTATTACAGCAACAAACCGTTGGAGCATGTCGAGTAAAAACAACAAGATCGTTTACTGGTTTATATCTGGTAATTCATTGTCTCTAAGTTCGCGTTTGTTGCTCTAAAGAAAAATATAAAGAGAGAACGAACTGTCTTATATAAATTTTGATTGGCTTGCGCGGTACAGTACCGGCTAAAGGTGACAAAAACTTGGTTTTCCAAAAACTAAAGAGTAAAATTTCAAGTCCGACGAACGACTATTCAGAAACTTATCAGTTTCTTATACCCCAATTCAAGGTATGACATGTGAAGTAGAACTCTTTAATCATTCTTGTCCGAAATGAAATGCCATAATGTTTATACTTGATCCATTATTAAACGTTAGATTGGCACACTTGATGCATTGGTCACGATTTCCGATGAACTTGTAAAATTTGATCAAGCATTCGAAGGAACCACGCTTAAGCTTATTGAGATTCTTCGTAATTTATTAAAGGGAGATATAAACCAAATTAGAGCTAATTTTGTGGTGAATGAAAGTATGTTTTATTTATGTTCCCGATATTTTCATCAATTTTTTATAAAAAAACTAAGATTACAAAATTTCAATAGAAAGTATCGACAAATACATAGAAACTTTTCAATGGAACATTCAGAAATACCGTGAGGACAAATCTTTACAGGAAATAACCAGCACGCTTAATCAAGTATGCTTTTTTTGCGCACTTTAGTATGGATAATTCCTCTATATCTTCAATTTTATTGATCCTCTAATGTTATTATCAGGAAGTGACATCAATAGATAATATCATGAAAGCCAAGCTTGCCAATTATAATCAAGTGAAAGGAAATCTTCAGGCTTTGGAAAGAAAGCAAACGTATATAAAAATTGAATATATTTACATAATCTTGATTGATTTGTTTACCTTGTTTTTTTAATTGTCAATGTTGATGCTAAAATTTATAAATTTTAAACTTACCAGCGGTAATTTGGCTGTAAGAAGTTTAGCCGATATCGTCAAAAAAGAACATTTCGTTCACGGTTCAGAGCACCTGGAAACTTTACTCTTTGCCGTTCCAAGGTTTGATAGTTCAAAATCAACATGCTTTTATATTGGCGGTGATTTATTTATAAAGAATTTCGTATTTAAAACTTTAAGGAGTCTCTATAAAGACTGGCATTCAAAATATGAAACACTCTCGCAGATGGTTGTGCCTCGTTCTTCAGTGTAAGATTTTTGCTACCCTGTTAATCATTCATTATCACGTATTAAAGCTGCATTACAACCATTAGTAAAATTGCCGAGGACGATGATTATGGCTTATTTACTGTGACTCTTTTTAAGAAGGTTGCCGACGAGTTCATAAACAAAGCTCGAGAACATAAGTAATAATAATTAACGATTCCTTCGAGAAAATCATTACGAATGCCTTTTTTATTGGTGAAGTTAAAAGGTCTTGTATTTTTTTATGTAATCAAATAATTTAGATATAGCTACAGAGAATTCACGTATAATGAGGCTGATATAGAAAATCAACGAAAAGAATTACAAGAGATAGGCGAAACCGAAAAAGAATTGTCGGTAAGGTCTTGTCATGCAAAATATATATTAAGGAAGTTCAAAATTTTCAAAAATCTTGTTATCTTCTTTACAAGGTAACATTGTTAAGATTGGCAAGAACAAATTTTGGCGAGGTATTCGCGGCTTGGATTCATTTAAAGGCATTACGAGTCTACGTGGAATCTGTGTTGAGATATGGGTTACCGCCTGATTTCATGTCAAGTATAATAATGGTATGTTGGGTTTATGAGTTTCATCTATTTCTAATTTGACCTTTGAAATAATATTGGTATTCCCTATTTTCTAGCCAAAACACAAGCAAGAGAATAAAATACGTGAAGTCTTAAACAATGAATACGGAAAACTTGGTGATATTCTAGGGCGCGACTTGCGGCCTGAAGAAAACATTGAAGGATTTCATAATTTAGTTGATGAGGATTATTATCCTTATGTGTGGTTTGAGTTACATATTGATCTTAGTAAGCGATAAAATGGCCAGGTCGATTTCGTGGCAATTTAAAACCATTATCGAAGAAAACTAGTTAATAACATTTTTTGTATATTGTATTATTAACACTATTATTTATATTAGTTATTTATTTAGTTATTTATTTAATTTATTAGTAAAATAAAATTTCATATTGACATTCAAGAACGTTTATATACATTCATTTCTTTGGTTATCCGACCCGTTATTTACACTTTTACATCTTAATCTTTAATCATCCTCGAGCATTTCAGCGTAATCATCAAAACTAGCAAATGTTGGCAAATGCTTAAGTTTTTGTCGTTTAATCTTTTTAGAACCGACTGCAGTGATAAAAAAAATAAAAAGACGTTTGGTCATTATAAGAAATAGACAAAATTCAAATAATACTATATATATTTCCAACCTTTTTCGTTCTTATTATGGTTCTTAGATTCTAACTCATCGTCGTCGTCGTCGTCATCATCGTCAACACTATCAAAACTTATTAAGTCATCCTCATCTTCTACAAAATCATCCGCATCAGCGGAATCATTTGCTTCAGGACTACCAATTTCTTCCCCTTCATTTTCATCCTCATTCTCATCAAATTCAAAATCTTCTAAATCATCTTGATCATCGTCATCATTTTCACCGTTACTACCGGGATCAAAATCCACATTTGGTAATCCTTTAGTCATGACACGCCATATTTCTTCTTCCTCTTCCTCATCGGTCGATCCCTCAGCGTCCATGAAACCAACATCTTTTGTATCAGATTTTTTCTTTTTTGTCTTTTTTGTCGTATCACCCAATGATGCCCGTTTTTGAGTGAAATACCTGTGGAAAAATATCTAATTTGAACAGAATATAATGCCATCATCTTAACATTAAAATCTAACAATAATAGTAAAGTAACAAAATAGTACCACTAACCTGATCAACAGGTATATCTTCAACTTTCTTTCGCCAAAACTCTTCAGAATTCACAACTTCTTCTTTCGTAATCCCTGCTCCCTTTTTCATCGTCAGAATATTATCTGTGGATGCTATAGAAGGCTGCATTTTCGAACTTCCCTTAATTGAATCCGATTTTTTCGGATTTCTATAAACGAACCGGTCAAGAAAATGTGAAAGTGTGTGAAGATGGAGATCGGGTTGTGTCTTTATTGTGATACCGTTGAGAATTTGGCTTGCATACAATGTTACTGTTGGGTGAAAGTGATTCAAAAAAGAACACTGAAAATAAAAATAATTTATGAGAATTTACTTGTATATAAGAAAAAAAAGAGAGCTTTATTTTTAATAAAAACTTGCCAATTCCCAAAGACAAGTCTGATCCGCATTACTATATTGGGGATCACGTTTCCTTCCATCATATTTTTTATGCGTGTTTACATCTGATGGCTGTGAGGAAGACACTTTATTAATTTTGGGTTTGTCTGAAACTACAGAGTCTTCATCATCTTCTTCCGGTGCATCAACAAAATGTTCCTCCTCGTCGTTTTCTTCAGGTTGAAAGATTAGAGCTCGAAGTCCTGGTTTTAGATTCATCAACTAAAGATGATAATAAATACAATTTAATCGTGGCCTAAATGAACCAAGCAATTTCATATTTTCTATATCATATTTACCTCTGATATTAAATGAAATACGCCACAAATGAAGGGCGGTTGGTGATGAGCAGCCGTTTGCAATATTCGTTTGACAAAAGCTTTGACACGCGCCATTGATTCATCAGCTTTGAGAGCCTTAAATAGCAAATTTAGATATATTGCATGCTTTGAAGACGTTATTAGCCGAACATCAAACAGCGATTCATAGAGCGTACGATAGAAACGATCTAAAATATCCTATTAAAAAATTAGTTTATTGATGATTAAACATTAAATTGAACATTAATTTTCTGGTAGGCACAAAAATTTTACCTCCTTTGCCGAACAAACTTGAAATATCAGCATCAGAGCACGGACACTCGTATTGAACGTGCCAGAGTAAGTTATACGAAATAAAATGTCCATGTTATGATCATATCTGCGTGAAATGATCAGAAAACCAAATCAACATTCCGTAACTAATCAGTTTAATTAATAAACATATTTATAACTTGTCGGATACGTACACGTCCTCTTCCACTTTTGCAAAGGGAAAAGCACGATTGACACCAGTCAATATTGCAGCAATGATTTTAGAATTAAGTGAATCAGAACTCGGCAAATCCTGGTGACTGATACTTAAAGACCCTTTTTTTTTCTTTGCAATATCTTTTTTGTCTTTACTAAATTTATTATTGCCTTTTCCTTTTAATTTCCCATTTTTTTCATTTTTATCCTGTTTATCGGTATTCTTAACACCCAACAGTTGCCGAAAGAACACGAAATAAACATCGATTAACTTATTGGCTAATTCTACTTCTCCTCTCGTCAATATTGTCTGGTTGAGACAGATGACAGCATAGTATTGCGCATGTGGTCTCGAATTACTTAGTAAGAGGTATTGCTCGATTTCACTAACTATTGCTAGTTTTAGATCTCGGCGCGTATTTGATAGTTGTTGAATGAGATATGTTGTTTTAGAGGCGACTTTTTTATCGTTATCTCCCTAAATATAAAACTCAAGTAAAATTTCCTGCGAGTCGAAAAAATTAAATGATGGATTTAAATAAGTTCCCATACTAATTTGTTAACCAAGAGCTTCAAAAGGTTTTGTTCTTGTTCGGGTTTGCTTTTTACCAGGCCAAATATGGTTTCGACCATTTGCTGTCTTACGTGGACGAGAACATCATGAGAAAGCACCTGGTTATAAAAACTTCATATTAAATAAATGGAGAATTGTGAATTTGTCACAAACAAAACCATTCATCTCTTTAATAATCAATAATACCTCTATTATTTTTATTAGTTCGAAATAATATCTTTTAAGATAATCTTCAAAAGCCCACAAAATTAAATGCCGAGCAGAAACTTTCGGATCTGACAAGGGTTGATCGCGAAAATACCTAAATAATGATAAACAATGAACCAATCCTTTAAGAAATATCAACACTATCATTATCACGAAAAATCTTACTTTAGTTTTCGTGGAGGTAACAGAGATTCCATCATAACGTCTCGTAGACTTAGAATCGCGCGTAGAGATTCGTGTCGATTATTCTTTTTCGCCATGGTCATCAACGTGTCCATCGATTTCATAGCATGCAGAGGCGACGCGGATATCATTACAGATAAAGTGGATATTTTGTCATTCAAAGTGCCCGATTTAAGCATGGCTGTGTAGAATGTGCGATCTGATGCTAGAAATGATGGATTGGCTTCAAAGTGTGCGTTCTCTTCTTGTAAGAGTTTTTTTGATTCCTCATATTTTCTTGTAATTGTTTCTTCTGAGAGATTTTCATTGGATGAATTTTGAAAGGTTTTTTCAGGATGGATGGTATACCAACGTGGATTTGGTTCAAAATACTATATATAATAAAAGGCACGTTTAGGTGTGTAATTCATAATAGATTTAATAAAAATTCCAAAACTTCTTTTGAACCGCCCAGATTGATGATTTTTGCGAATCATCCTAATTGGAACATAATCTAAAATCTAACTATCTATCAATCCCATGATACTTAAAAAGAGAGGAAAAAATCAAAGTGGAATTTAACCTTTTTTAATTTGCCATTTTGAGATCGCTTTTTGCCAATCAAAGAGATCTCTTGTTTACCGCTCTTTTTTTGTTTTGTTTCGACTAGTTGATTTTTACTTTTGTGTGAGCTATTATTACTTTCGGGACTAGGCTGCTCTTTTTTAGTTAAGTTACGAGATTTTCCTTTTGTGTTTTTCATCATGGAAAATTTCGAAACATACGCCAAAATGTTAAATCAACATTACCTTTTTTTAGTAGGATGTGAATGTCTATCAACATATTTTCATATTGATATCGATATATATTTGAAACTTCACAGTATACCCTCTATAACATATATCTATATATATATAACGTATAACAAAATGTCAAATATTAATCCGACAGCTTTTTTTGGAGGTGGGATGGGAGTGCCAAATCAGCTGGTAGCCATGCATGCGGCTGGTCAAAGAGTGCTGAACCCGATGCAATTAGCAGCCATGGCACAGGCACAACCAAACCTCAGTCCGGCATATAATCTAGGCTTTCCGACAATGTTAGCGGCTAACACGGCCAACCTAGGTGCAAGAGTAGCGCCAATGCACCTTAACATGCCTGGTTTGGCACAAAGACAGCAGCCTCTTACCAAGTGAGTATATGAAAAGCGGCATTTAAGATACTCATTCGACCATTTTAGTAGTTTATCTGGCGGAAGGGTTCCCCGTTATTTGCCACTATGCCAAAAGCTTCTTGAAAATTGAACATAGCATGTAAAGGCTGACTCAATTTTACTTGTTATTGTGAAACTTTTGGTATTCGAGAACCTTTGTTGAGTGTGTATAGTGTTTTATCTTGATGACTTTAACTAACACGTCACTGATAATAATATAGCAGACCACCTTTAAATCAGGGTAAAGGCATACTAAGAATAATGCTCTTTGCAGACTACCTAGGAGGCGAGGTAATTTAATCATACATACGATCAAGCCGTGTTCAAACTGAAAATATATTAAAAGTGTACTCGCATCACCATCATCATAGGCCAATGATCCATCGAAGAAAATCGATAAAAAGGATATCATGTATTGGACACGATTTGTAACAGAATTCTTTACGGAAGATGGGACGATGCGATATACCTTATGGAATTCAAAGACAGATGAGCAAAGAAGTTTTGGTATGAAGGGAATCTTTGTTTGAAAGCATTCATGTCAATCGAAGGTGAATATTCTTTAATAGCTCAAAACTCACATCAACAGATATTGCAAATTCAGTAATACCGAGATATTACCAAGTGAATTTTGACTCTGGCGTGACTGGTATACAACTGATACTTGGTCACGCACGCGAGCACGTTTCCTCCGGCTTCAACGGAACTACTTTAGGTCACACAGTTGACTGCCCACGGGCTACCATGATATATAGCTATGAAAACGGAACGCGGGTAATTATCACCCTAAAAGGATGTTTCTTCTTTTATACTTCATTCATTGCTTTATTAAATCCACTAGTATTTAATTTCGGTATGTTCATATGTAGATCGTTGCGACAGGGCACTTGAAAGTTAAAATGACGTATGGACTGAAAATCGAATACATGGATTTCACCACAAAAAAACACGAGGAATATATACCGAGAGAAGTGAAGGATACTCTCCCACCCAGCCCTGTTAATGATTACGGGATACCCGTGAAGACACTTCGAAGTTTGGAGGTAACTCGTCGTTGATTATGATACCCAATAGCAATGATATCGTTTATTAGTGCTGACGATGAAAGTAATAATAAAAATTGCAGATTAATCAATAATAAATTTTTTAGATAGCTGAGGGAGTAGCACAATTAGACGACCTAATAAATATAACACTGAAAACAAATCAAGGACCTAAACGTAAGGCAACAGGCATCTTTTACACGTTGAATCGAAGAATGGAAATAATGTTTCTCTTTTACATTATCTACATAGATTCATTGAGGAGGTTCATGCAAACTTCTGTTCCCTTACATTTTGCGCAAAATATGACGAATATGACAAATATGATGACAATACCTCCAACACCTGGCCCTTCACCGCCTAATGGTCCCGTAATGAAAACGTCTCCAAAAAGAGAACCAGAAAGTTCGATTGCAGTTGACATGGTCACAAATCTTAATAGTAATAATAACAATAACAACAATATCAGTGTCAATGGCAGCAATCCAAACCATAATGCTACTAATACTAACAACAACCTTAATAATAATAATAATAATAATAATAGTAGTAGTAGTAGTAGTAGTAGTAATAGTAATAATAATGACAATAATAATAATAATAATAATAATAATAATAATAATAATACAAATAATAATGATGATGAGGGTGGTGGTGGTGGTGGCAATAGCAATAGCAATAATAATGTTAATGACGTATCAATTTCATCACCATCGCTTACAAATAGTATAAAAAATGAGCCTATTACTACTCCAAAAATATCGGCAAAGCCATCACCATCACCTCGAATTAGTGGTAAGGAATGAAAGATCAGAAATTGAATTCTTCGCATCTTACTTTTGAATTAATCCTGTTAATTTTTATCGTGTTAAGATAAAAGACCGGGTGAACCAGGACTAGGGAACAAACCAAAACGACGTAATACTAAATCAGCCCCTAAGAAAGCTAGTCGTCAGGATCCTACATCATCATAATGATGACGGTGAAACGAATCTGCTGTTTTCCGCTCCTTTGTACAAAGAACTATGTCATTTTTTATTCAATCATACTGTTGTTTATTTTTTTTTGGTTTGTAAATTTCATTTGTTTTGTTGAAGGAAGAGATTTTTTGTAGCATTTAAACTCGATTTATATTGTATATGTAAAATTCAAGACACATCCATCATTTGTAAAGATTTCTGTTTTTCTTGTAATCGTTTTGTATGTAAACATCATCGATTCTTGTTTTTTCAAATTGGATTTTTCCGTGTAAAAATATAATCTGCCCATTGTATGGATAAATTTCACAAGATTTCAGTAATAAGAAAAGGAAAATATCATAGTGACGATCCAACAAGAATTTATTTAAATTATCATATTGTATTAGAAACGAGAAATCCTCTTTTAAACTAGTTTATGCAAAATGATATAACTCGAAAGCAAATGATTGTATAAAAGAAAAATCTGTAAGAGGATTCTTTATTTTCTTTAGTTCTGAAAGTGTTATAAAATCCTGATTTTAAAAAAATATTTAATTATCTAACGTTAAGCTACTCAGTAATGTAGCATTAATATGTAAAAATTTTCTAAATTTGACACTTTTATAATAAAATGGATATCTTTTACTGCCCTATATTGTATACAAAAATTCTATCAATAAAAATATATTTTGTCGAATCCCTAACCAAATTAAAATCGTAAATTTTCATCTCGGATCTATAGAACAAAAAGTAATAATTAATATTTGATGTTTAATAATGATAAGAAAAGGAAAGATAACTTACCAAGCATTTCCTGTGGCTTGACCCATTCATCAAACTGTTCGGAGGTAAGCAGCCCTAATTGAAATGCTGCTTCTTTGAGCTAAATATTAAAAAAAAAACCAAAATTAGCGATTAGCATTACAAGGGTAAGGACATAAATCAGGTGATTTTTGGGGAGGGGGAGGTCTGGACGAAAATCAGGTGTAGATCAAAATCAGATGATCAGGTGGGATAAACCTCTTATGAAATGGAAATCACTTGAATTATGTCCCTAACCCTAAGCATATAAATTATTCGGACCAAAACAATGTTATATATTTAATCGATAATGAACATACGGTGAGATTTTCACGGTAAGCCTTCTTGGCAACTTTTGCCGCATTATCGTATCCTGTCATAAAAAATCAATCGAAAAATTAATTAAATAATGAAGTGATAGCAATACTATGAATGAGTAATATTATTTTACCTATGTGAGGATTTAGAGCGGTAACAAGCATTAAGCTTTCATTCATAAGAGTTGCAATCTAATGAGTTGTAAAAATATAAATTTAGACTTAACTACAAAAAATAACAAATACAACGATATTAAAGACTTCTTTATTACCCTCTCCTCATTAGCCTTGATTCCAACAACACAATTCTTTCTCAGCGAAACACTTGCATCACTCAAAAGGCGAATTGAATGGAGAAGATTCCTGATCAAGACAGGTTTGAAGACATTCAGCTGCAAAGTTACCAGAAAAACATATATCTATGAATCTTATATCGGATTATTTGAGAATCAAAAAAAGAATAGTATCGCTTACTTCAAAATGCCCATTTGAGCCCGCAATAGTAATAGCTGTATGATTACCCATAACTTGAGCAGCAACCATAGTCATCGCCTCACATTGAGTAGGATTCACTTTTCCAGGCATAATAGACGATCCGGGTTCATTTTCAGGAAGTAAAATTTCACCAATTCCGCATCTTGGACCAGATCCTAGTAGTCTGATATCATTTGCAATCTTCATTAATGAGACCGCGATGGTATTCAATACTCCACTCGCCTCGACAATAGCATCATGGGCAGCCAAAGCTTCAAACTAATAATACAAAGAAAGTTATATAAACACAGAATATAAGATTTCCGTAGAATATTAAATACAATAAATAACCTTGTTGGGGGCAGTTTTGAATGGTAAACCAGTTATATTCGCGATTTCCGAAGCAACATTAACATCGAAGCCCTTGCGGGTGTTTAAACCCTATAATAATGTATATAATCGGTCAAATAAACTATCACGAATAGATTTTCATCGACCAAAAATGGGAATTACTTACTGTTCCAACAGCAGTACCACCTTGAGCCAAATTATATAATCTCGGGAGAGCACCATTTATTCGGTCTATGCCAAAAGTTAGTTGTTGGACATAACCCGAAAATTCATTTCCTAGAGTAAGAGGCGTAGCATCCTTAAAATTAACTAATGATTAAATTAATGATGAAATTACATTGTTTATTGATCATACAGATATATGAAAACAAACTTGTAAATGAGTTCGACCAATTTTGATTATATTTTTGAAATCCTTAGATTTTGCATCGAGTGCATCTCGGAGTGCCGACAAAGCAGGAACAAGACTTTTGTTAATCTCAGTCGCTGCGGAAATATGCATAGCTGTTGGAAAACTAACACATAGTTAATATGCAAAGAAGGATGTGATATTAAGTATATTAGTTTCGATTCTTTTAAATTATTCACCTATCATTCGAAGATTGGCTCATATTCACATGATCATTAGGATGAACAGGATCTTTACTACCAAGTTCACCACCTAATATTTCAATTGCACGATTGGAGATTACCTAAAAAATAAAAAAGCATAAACTTATAAATTTTTTACCAATAGATTTTTTCGAAAAAATAAATATAATTACTTCATTGACATTCATGTTAGTCTGCGTGCCAGAACCAGTTTGCCAGACTACCAATGGAAAATGATCTAAAAGTTTTCCTTCAATAACCTAGACATGAAATGAAGAAATATTAAATTATCGAAAATGTAAAGATCAATCATTTATAAATACCTCATTAGCAGCCTCAATTATCGTATTTCCTATCTTTGGATCAAGACCATATGTGATATTTACAGTAGCAGCTGCACGTTTTAATACACCAAATGCTTTGATTAAGGGCTCGGGCATACGTTCTGTGGGACCACCAATATCAAAGTTTTGAAGAGACCTAAGAAAAATAATGATGATGGATAATGATGATAATCATGAATACGATCTGCATATTATTTTTCAGTGAACAGTTCTCGATAACGTTCTGCACGATATTTTATTTATTTATTTTCACAAGCGTAGAAGAACCAAAACTAAGCCCCTGTTTGCTAATGAACTTAGTACCTTTGAGTTTGAGCACCCCAGTAACGATCAGCAGGTACTTCTATATCTCCAAAAGAGTCTTTTTCACGTCTATATTTTTGCTGTGATGCCATTTTTTGTTGTTTAGCGAAACAAGACAAGCATCAATTCGGGACAAATTTATCAGATATCTGAACACGTGACTTTAACTATGTCACATCTATTTTATTTTATTTAATTACTACCCATAGTGAGGACGAAGCACCAAACGAACGATACTGCAAGAAAGATGATATCTAAAAGTAATGTAATCCGCATAATTAGCAAATTAATAAATCGAAAATTAAACTTTGTTATGAATAAAGAGTGAAATGCCTACAGAAGGGACTTTCCCCAACTTAGACCGCGAATTTCTCAACACGAACATGAACATGAACAAGACAAAATGAAACTGATCTAACGAAAAAAAATTAGCACAATAACAATAACGATAAAAAATATATTGCATTTTGCCATGATTGGCAAATGGATCGTCAAATCAAACTATCTGCCTATCAAATTTACAGATCAGAACGGTTTCTTGTTACTGTCCTTTGATTGGATAATATAAAAAGAGATTCGAACAAACAACAATACCCTATGATTTTTAGATCCGTTTCATTCGCTAAAATCCTAAAATCTTTTTTTGAGGGCGTATTCTTTCTAATCCGATGTTATAAATTCAGATCTTTATTATACTCAAAGAGAAACTAATAAATTTCCCACAAACTTATTCTCGTGTCTTTTCCACCAGCTACCAAATAATGACGCTTCAGCTGTTGATCATTCGCGATGTCTTCTTCAAGATTATTATCGCACACCTCTAAATTATGATGTTTATCATCGATTTTGTTGATATCTTTCATACTCTTGTCTGATTCAAGATCCAATAATTCAGAAAATGCTAAAGCGTGCACACTTTCATTGTGATATGAAAGTATAGCTAAAGGCTTTAAATTTTTAGCAGAGAAAATACGTACTCTAACAATGAGTTTATATCAAAAAAAAGTTAATCAAATGTGCACTAATATATATATATATATATATAAAAACATCCATGAATATACCATTCTGCTCGACCCAAGGGATGGTATATTTATGCATGTCTATTTGTAAATATATTATTGATAAATTACTCACCTCGCATCCCATCCGGCAGTAGCAAAAATTTTACTATCGGATCTAATACATACATATGAAATACCTGGTGTTTTGATTTTCACCTGTGATATAACCGGCGTGTCTTCTATAAACTTGTAAAAAAAAAAATAAAAAATGAATATTCAGACCATAAATATATTGACAATAAATAATACATTACCTCAGAAAATTTATACTTGATTATTTTATTATCCCCTGAAACAGAGATTGCAAATGTCTTATCTCTCGAGATATCAACGCTCAGAGCTTATTTTTAAAAATCAAAAAAAAAACTCCCAATCAAATCAAAATTTGACTTAGAAACCTTAAGAATAACGATAATTAATTACCACTCTCGGAGTGTTCTTTTATGGTCCAACATTTTTCCCAGTAGTTGCTACTACAATCAATCTTCCATAATACCACACTCCCATTCTCGTATGCGGCTAGAATATAATATTGATTTTCGTGATCGCTTTTATTGAATAATTTAATTGACATGCAATACCCTAAAAGATATAGATATACATATAAGAGTTATAAATTTTTTTGTTATAGGTATTAAAAGTTGATAATAATAGTAATACCTAAATTTTTCCCTTCATTAAGTCCTATACCATCAATTAATCTTTGTTGACCAAGAAGATTCCATATATCAATCTGGAAAATTTTGAAAATCAAAAACCAATTTTCTACAAATAAAAAATTTTACTGCATTCTTGATAGAACAAACAAAATACCCCAGCAGAATCGGTCAAATTTGGTACAGCGATCAACAATAAGTCTTTAGCATTTTCACGTTCTTTTTGAATAATAAAAACAAAGAAAATGATTTAATTTGATTAAAACAACATATCCAACATGATCAAAATCCCATATTACCTTGCGCGAAAATTGAGAATTGACAAAAATTCAAAGAGTTGACTGTATGACTAAACATCGGTTTCAAAGGATCAGATGCAGCATTTATTAATACATCAGACTCATTATTCCATATATGAACCTTATTATCTCTGCCTTGACTAACAATTATATTTTGAATAAACACCGATTCTGAGAAGAAAGTTAAAAAAAATATAGAAATTTGAAAGATCAACCTAATCAAAAAATCCTGCCATGTTGAAATATTAAGAATTCCTTCACGATGTGCTCTATATTTTAAAATTGGACGTCTAATCTTCATATCCCATATTATGATGTTTCCTTCAGCATCGCTAAAATGGAGCAATATATTACGAGATTATAAAATTGAACAAAACTAATATTTCAATATTGAAAAATACCCCGATAATAATCTTTTATTATTCCGGTAAAATTTTAACACGTTTATCTGATCAGTGTGATCACGAAAAATATATTCTGGTGTTGGTGCCGCTTTAGAGAATGGTTTTTTATTGTTAGACGACATTTTTTGATTTTAAAATACTCCAGTCATGGCGAATAAAAATGCCCGGCCACGTGATTTTTAGTGGTAAACCAATCAAATAGAAAAACGTGTTCTAACAAAAGATTTGTTTCATATACTATTTAATATCTTAATAATTTAACTTTGCAACAAATTAACTAAAGAAATTTTTTGAAAAGAAAGAATAATATAAAGAGCTATTAAAATGTATCTATAATTTAAAAACAAAAAATTTATAATTTTAAAAAGTTTTGTAAGCTAATATTTTTTATGTATAATTTTGGATTATTTTTAATAAAAATTTTATTATTTTATAAATATTCAGATTAAAAAAATTTTTTTATAATTAATTCTTTTAAAAAACTATAAATATTATAACAAAAACTAATTAATTTAGAGCTTTTAAATAAAAATTATAATATAATAATACTTATATTCAAATTTATAATTAAATAAGAATTAATAATTTTTAATAATTAACATTATAAATTATATTTAGAAAGATAAATTTTACTTAAGATATAACTTATAATAATATATAAAGTATAAATTGAATTATTTATAATATTAAATAAGACTAAAATTATTTTAAAGATTTTTTAATATCAATATTTATAAGTATTATATCAAAATAAAATTATAAATAAATTAAATATAATCATAAAAATTAAAGATATCAAAATTAAATTACTAAAATCAAATATTGTTGTGATATGAACTTTTAGTAGAATATTAGTTAATTTTATTATTGGTCGCTTCATATCACAATATGATTGG